TGCGATCTCGCCACGGAGCTTGGCCTTCTGTGTGTCCAGAGCTGGTAGAGCCAGACGGTTCTTGAGCTTTTGTATAGCAGCTTCCGCTCGCTTTGCTTCACCCTCGAGCTTTTCTATGCGCTTCTTGTCGCGCGCATCGGCCTGCTCGGTCATCATCTGGTCCGCCTGCCTGCCAATATCGCGTTCCAAGTCATCCTGCGCTCGTGTGCCAGTCGTGAGCATCTTCAACCGTGCCTCCTCGTCAGCATCTGACGGTATTTCCTCTACTAAATCTTCCCCACCATCATGCATGGTCGCATCGTTCGAGTTGTCTGGATTGGTGACGGTGATCTCAGGCGCGGTGGCGAGCGCAGCGTTGTCGGAGGGCGACGACATGACGACAGTTGTCGCAATCTAAGAGGGCTTCGAAAGCGGTTCTATTGGCACCGGGAGTCTCGAGCGGGATTTGAACTGCCGTGCGTGGTGTGCGTCGGATTACTCGTGGGTAAGAGAATTCGTGATAAGTTGCGCCGAGGGCAACAGCGGCAGGTCGAGGAACGTGAAGCGGGAAAAACCAGCATTAGAGACGCGGGTAATCCATCACGGGTCAGCAGACAGTTCGCGCATGAGGCTGTGACAAACAGCGTCGAGGTGAAAACGTCGTAGGCGGCAGGCGCGACCGTGGTTGACACCTGCACTTTCACTCGAGGCGATGATATCACTAAACGCGCTAGTTCGCGGGCAGCTTCCGCGGTATCGCGTCGCTCCTACTCTAGCAACCTCACAACCCATCTGACAACGCACCTCAAGAACACTCTCTCTGAAGCCTGTAGTACTTCAACCGACAAATTCATTTGATCGATTCAGGAACGTTCTCTAATATCACTAATGGCGTCGACCTCGTAGTCATCGACGTCACTGGGCTAGTCTTCATCCTTTCGCTTCATGCCACTCACCACGAGCGGTTTTCATAACATCATCCCGTCGCCCTCAAGATTTTGAACTGATCCTTCGATGCTCCCTATCACAGTTTCGGTAACGGTGCTCTGGTCGCCCGGTTATCCGGATTACTATTCCATCACAGCGGAGATGGAAGCCACCGCCCGAGAGACGGCAAGATCGATCCTGTCAATCTCCACCTCACCGCCCACGATCCATCTGACTCGCTCAACACCATCTCATCGTAACGCCTTGCTTCCAGAACGCATTCGCAGCAGATTCAGATTCTAGACTTTCTCCTTGCGGTATTACTCGCGATCACCTTCCATATATATCATATTCGGACCTTTCACGATTCACGTTCATGCGGACGGCTTTCAGCCCTATGCAAGTCATGGCACCGGTGTCTTATCGACGAAAGCCACTCTTATTTCGCCTACGCACGCTGGATTCTGCGCCCAAACCCCGGGCCTCAACATTCCAAGCTGACTCTGATTGATCCCTGATGACACGGTGATCGGTTTCCTTAGTATTTTCTCTCCTCCTCACACGTGAAAGTCTCTATGGGCTGGGTCTCACATGGCAATCGCTGAAGCCCGCGGTAGGTCGCTAAGGCCTGCGTCTTCAGACTACCGAAGTAGCCGATAAATATACAGTGGACACCCGTTTCAACCCCAAGTCACGAACATGGCACGCCTAGCAACATACACAGTGTAAAGCGCTGAGTGCGAACTCGCCATCTACACATCGGTCGAATTACGTCAATTCAGGGCAGGGGATAAATCGATATAAAAGCGGTAAAAGTGCACAGAACATCGAAAGAGCTGAGATCAATATCTGGGCTGCTATCATGTTGGGGCCAGTTGAGGCAGGATCAATTGAGTTGGCGGGTTGTCTGAGGCGGCGACGGCCCAAGCTTCATTCTGCAGATTTATCCGTACCCTGCCAAACACCTGGCGCGTAAACTGCTGCTGAGATGAATGTCGCGTGGTACGGTGCGGGGAAGCAGGGACAATTTGACAGCTATGCAGCACTGCTCACATCGGTTGGTGTTGCATAACCCTTGGTCTAACATTGTCTGCCGGCACTTCCCCGCCACACCGTTCAGTCAGTCTGGGCGACGCGACTCATCACCCGCCCAAATCTGGACAGTCTGAACCTGACTCGGATACTGATGTGGGACTCCCGCCGATGCATGATTGCGTTAGAGAACGCCGTCTTTCGCGCGATTGGCATTGTGGATATTGCCGTTCATGTTTGATAGTCAGTGGCTGCGGCACCCCTACACATCATCATGAGTATCGCCTCCACGGTTTCTTTTTCCTGTCAGCGTTCCATTCCGTTCGTGTGAACGGATTCATTGTCAAGCTCCAGAACCGTTCTCGATGGCCCCTCATGGCCGACTTTCTATCATCTTGGCTTTTGTGCTTACCTCTATGTCGACCGTGGTTGTAGCCCTAAGGTGCGTCTGCCGTTCGCAACCCTGATCGCAACGTTGATTGACAGTTCAGATTCTACACCCGGTATTTCTATGTTGGAAAGCTCACGTCGTCCGACTGGGTCATGCTTCTGGCTCTTGTGAGTGTATGCTCACTCCCTGTGCTGCTATTGCTGACCAGAAACAGATCGCAACTTGGTATGGACGTCTCCGCGGAACCCAGAGGAGCTGAACTGACTCATTCATTCCTACATCTAGGCCATCAGTGGTGGTACATTGCTTCATGATCCACTTCCTCGATTATAGCCATGTTGATGTAAGTAGCTACTAGCTGGTGAATGACTGCGGTCTAACATAGCACAGAAAGACAAGATAGAAACCTGGAGACCCGTAATCACCGGCTCGCTGCTATCGATGTGGCTATACCGAGTCAATTTCATCCTCAATCTTTGTCTCATCAAGACGTCGATATTGCTATGTACGTTATATGCCACACAATCCCAGGGATGAACGCGGAGAGCTTCGAGTACTACACAAGTGGCGGCGATTGCGCGTCGAACGGCCATTCATTCGCCCATGTGCTTTCAATATTCCTCGGAACGCTCATTTATGAAGGATCTACTCGGCTAACAGGATCAACTTAGTTTACCATTCTATCGCCGCATCGAACAAACGCTTCCAATACGTCGTCCGTGTACTCTTGGCCATCACAGTCTCTGGAGGAGTATCCATGATCATCGCCTCCATTCTTATGTGCATTCCGATCACCGATGCGTTCGGATGGGATGCTTGGTATCGAATGTGGGTCCTACACATCTTCGACCTCCATTGTTACAACCCAAATCCATTCTGGCTCTTCAATGCCATCTATAACCTCGTCACGGATGTGATCATCTGGACGTTACCGATATTGTTCTTTTGGAATCTTCCGACAATGCCGCTGAGACGCCGTCTTGAGCTGATGGCCATCTTTTCCGTCGGTATCTTGGCCGTAATAGCTTCCGCCCTTCGGCTTTACACTACAATCTTCTGGCTGGCCGACTATGTGCAGCAAGGACTGACTACAGCAGATCTTTTGATGTGGAGTCAAGTGGAACAGCACGTCGGTCTCATCACAGCCTCCGTACCATTTCTGCGACCACTCTTCCGTAGAGCGATGGTCAAGGTGAGGAGCAGAGAGCAGCCCAGCCCAGGTCCCGGAAGGCGCTTGGTCGGAGACGGCACACCAGAGTGGACTCCTGCCATGTTCAGGACGCCGATCATCCCATCGCCTAGTCCAACATTTAGCAGGTGCAGCCGGGAATTTAGGCCACCGCGGGGCACACTCCCGCCTATTGAGCCTACGAGTACGTCAACATGGGGCTCGACCATTTGGGATGGATCTCAGGTTCGGCAGGTGCTTCCAAGCTGATCTGTCGGTCATTGACAGACCCGCAAACCTATTCAAGAGCGGAAGAGGCGGACCACCGAATTCTCAAGAGAGAAAAGCCCCGCCGCATGTGTGTGGAGCTCTTGGCCAAGTGAGGGCAACGGTTGTTCATTCACTGTCGGGAATAGCCTTACACCAAGTTCTGAACCAGGCAATTCGCTCTCCCGAGCCACTCCAACACCTCAACGACACCACGATGTGTGCTCTCATAACTTTGGCATCTACAACAATGACTGCAGCCGACGGCGTGGCCGATGCCTGTACTGCGATGCCATGCGTACTTGCACCTCCGCCTAAACCAGCACTCGATAACCTTCCCATGGAGCTCATCAGAAACATCGTGAAGTTCATACCCAATTCGCCTGTACGCGAGCTACTTGCGTTACGTCGAACCTGTCGCTTCTTTCGCGCAGCCGCTGCCTATTTGCTTTGCCCACGTATGAGGCGCAGGCTCAGACACATTCGAGTGCTGATGACAAAAGACGGCTTGACAGCGCTTCTTGAGATCACGTCGGTAATTCATTGGCGAGATTGCATTCAATGCGTTGAATTTATCGACCCTGGAGTGGACGCCATAAGGGAATACAAAAAAGGAGATCGAGACAAATACCACTGGCTCGGCTATACCGTGGAGTCAGCCAAATTTCGGGAAATCCAGAACAAGGTACGTCGTACATCTAGGACGGGCTCGGATCCGGGAGAGTGCGCTCTTCCCGTTAGTCGCCTTGTTCAAATTCACTATGTGCTAACGAAGTTCAGATTACACCTGTACGGCAGTTGTTCTGGGCTAACTACGCCCCGGTTCTTCTCGAGAAGATCATCTCCTCATTCAAAACTATGGAAGGACTTGAGGAGATACATTTCGGATCGAGAAGTAGCGCTCATAAGCCGTTACCGCGTTCAGAACCTTTCATCATGAGTATAGGGTTCGACTACGCCCATACTAATCTTGCTCGTTGTCTTTTCCAACGTATCTACAACCGCGAAATTGGCACCTACATTTCCGCTGGACACATGCGCTTGTTGCATCGGATACTGTCGGACACTGGTTTCAGCAAGGAAATTATTCACCTGAATATACGCAACCTCACCGGGACTGAACGATTGTCTCTACCTGGAGTATGGCCATACCTGGATCACCCAAGCTTTCAGAAACTCAACTTTGTAGATGTGGACCATGCGCATCCGTTGGACAGCACCAGGGCGCCTTCAACAATGAGACTTGATCCGAAGTATGAGCGTCTCAACTCACGCCCAATATGTTGGAACATCGCCGAACTCCGGCTCATCGGCTGCAAGACAGATTCCAGCTGCGCAGTTGATTACCAGACCTTCTCTCTCCTCGCCAAGTCTCGCTTTCCTCACCTGATCCGGCTCGAACTTATTGGATACGCGGTCACCAGCGAACAGCTCATACCGTTTCTCCGCAGTGTCAATTCTACGACGCGGGATGTCTTCTTGACTGGCTTTCATCTCACATCTGGTAGCTGGAAACCGGTTCTCCGAGAAATTCGCGCTTTCGAGCGACTGCGTGAGACCAAATTCAAGACTCTGTCGGAGATGGAACAACAGTATTGGAATGGACGCTTTGCGAAACTTGTAGTGATCCCATGATGGTAGGGCCGATGATTGTTAAGGGATTCCTTGTCTGGAGAGAGATGGCTTCGAAAAGGTGTTGGACATGTGTGGACGGCGCTGCGTATAACCAAATAAATAGCTACACTGAATTACTTCATGACCACAACTACATGCCGATGTCAGATGTCGAGTGACAACGTGGACGGGGCTTAGTACATCGCCGTACTCGTGGTGATGTGATTCGTCGGGCCGACCGCGGCATGCTCTCGCGATTAGCACTGCCGATGCCGTCCAGTCATGCCGCAATTCTAGAAGCCTACCTAGGGCGAGCGACTTTATCAGCCTGCGGTGGGCTCACCGTGACACGATCCACAGTCGCCTTGCAGGGCGGCGCTGGTGTGATGTGGAAGCCGGGGACACTCGAGCCGCTGCCGAACAGAAAGCTCAGCAGGCGGTGAGTGACAGGGGCGAAGGGTAATTGGCCTGGCGCGTCTTCTGGGCAGGCACTAGTGCATTTGCGCCCACGCGTTGGCCGCTCGGAACTGAGTGAACCTTGGGTGGCAAAAGTGGTACGAACGTCGATCAGGGCCGCCAATCTCCAATTTAATCCGCCTCCTTTGCTGCTGCATCTGCTCTTCTTCACTGCAGCACCTCCGCCAATCGCTCCTTCACCACTCTGCAACCTGCAGTCGTTCCTTCGCTCTACAACTGCACTCTGCACCCGCTCTTTGTTTTTACTGCTGGACATTGAGAGCAGCCACAATGTACGCCCGATCCCGAAGTACCCCGAAGTCGCATACCCTAGATACTAACAGATGACAGGAACAACGCAACCTCCCTCCTGACGCCTATGGCGCAGGACACCTACTGGGGCTCCTTTGAGGAGATCTCCAAGTACAATGTGCAGCTCAACTACCTCGAGAAGATGTGGATGGCCTGGTACGCATGGATGGGCAACGATGTCCTAGCGACAGGAATCATGTCCTTCGTCTTCCACGAGCTCTTTTATTTTGGACGCGCGCTTCCCTGGATCATCATCGACTGCATACCCTTCTTCAACCGATACAAGCTCCAACACGTACGTCTCTGCGATTGCACATCTCCATGCGACGATAGCTAACTTGCCGCAGCAAAAAATCCCCACTACCTGGGAACAAACACAATGCGCCGCCCTCGTCCTCCTGTCCCACTTCACCGTCGAGCTTCCCCAGATCTGGATGTTCCACCCCATGTGCCAATACTTTGGCCTCCAGACCTCCGTCCCCTTCCCCAGCATCTACAAGATGGCGTACCAGATTGCCATCTTCTTCGTCTTCGAGGACGCATGGCACTACTGGATGCACCGCGCCATGCACGCCAGCTCCTTCCTCTACAAGAACATTCACAAGATCCACCACCAATACTCTGCCCCCTTCGGTCTGGCCGCCGAGTACGCCTCACCCATTGAAGTCATGATCCTCGGCTTCGGTACTGTCGGAGTCCCAATCGTCTTCTGCGCCATCACCAAGGACCTCCACATCTTGACCATGTACGCGTGGATCTGCCTACGCGTGTTCCAGGCCATCGATGCGCACAGCGGCTACGAGTTCCCATGGAGTCTGCACCACTTCCTGCCCTTCTGGGCCGGCGCCGAGCACCACGATGTTCACCACGAGAAGTTCATTGGTAACTACGCCAGCAGCTTCAGGTGGTGGGACCTGCTTTTCGACACTGAGGCTGGTGCTGAGGCTTCCAAGAAGCGCCGTGAGCGCAAGATGGCCGCTGCCAAGCTCAAGAAAGCCAACTGAGCGATCTTCGCTGGCACGTTTACAATCTTTGACGAGTGTTTGTCGGTTTTAGCCGCACGCTTGATGGTTGGGAGATGGTAGAACCTCTTCCGGCTGATAACTACCCACACGCTTCGATGCGGAGCTGGTATGAGACCTGGCGTTTTGGGTATAGGAAACTGCAGCCATGCATATTGGTCGCGGTAATAGACAGTATGACAGTATGGACCCTGGATAATGGGTGGCAGAGAGGTGTTTGTAAATAGGAGCTGGGTCATTATAGAATATTTACCTAATATCATCATCACGGTCGTTACGTTGAACGTTAACCTATTCTGTCACGTTCCGGTTTCGTGTCATTTGTTGAGCATATGTATTCAGGACGCGAAGATGTGTGCATTGGAACCAACAGCAAGCCAAATGTGTGTTAGGTGAACGGTGAAGAGGCCCCTGGTGATAGCGCGGAACGCCGTCTTGGCGCGGTGAGGACTGGCGCGTCTACATTCCGAGCTCATCAACTTTCTTTAACTTCACCAAACCGCGCAATCACCTCCACCACCCCAAGACGACGGCGCGCGAAAAGACGGCATCATGAGCTCCGGGCGCCCTGTTGTCCACCAGGACTACATTGCAAAAATCCGATATTCGAATGCGCTGCCTCCTCCACCCTGTCCGCCAAAGCTGCTGGACATCCCCAACACTGGTCTTTCGAGCGGTCAATACACATCAGCTGGCTTTGCGTCGAGATTAGCGCGAGAGCAGTCGCTGAACATTGAGGCTGATGCTGAGCTGGGAATGCCCATCGATTTGGTGGGTATCCCTAAGGTATTCGATGGAGACGAGTCTGGTAAGAGCGAACCCGTGGCGCAAAGCCCTCGCAGCGACTGACGCGTCCAATAGCTATTCAGGCGATGCCTCACCCGCCACCGCTCAGCACAGCAGACAGGGCGCTGATGCGACCACCGAACCAGCTCGGCAAGACGCAGACCAATGCTTCTGGCGCGACTTTCCTGCGACGAACCGAATATGTCACTTCGAGCACAACCGGTGGCTCCAAGTTTGAGTCAAGTAACTCGTCCAACACGATGCGCCTGCGGAGGAAGCGAAAGCAGGTAGAGACCTCATTAGACGATCCTACCAACATCGCGAGACACATCCTGAAGAGCTTCAACATCGCGTACCCAGCAGATGCCTACAACGGCCAAGACGGCGCCGAGAACATCAGGGCAGCAGAATCGACGCCCGAAGAGCGACTAGCCTGGAACAAGCCCAAGAACCCCCGGAACCCCAACCTGACACTCGTGGACTCCTACCCACTGCTCCCAGACTGGGACGCCATGCCCGACACCGGCGGCTACATGGTCTTCAAATTCACCGCACCCCCCATCAACAACCCGCTCGACCCATCCTACGACCCGCGTCTCGACGTCGCCCTCCTTCGTCCGGCAGGCCAAACAATCCAAGACCAAGAAAAGTACATGGAAGACCGCGAAGCGCACCGCCTGGACCCCACCGTCCCACCCCCAATCCCGCGCTGGCAATTCGAATACTTCCTCCCCTCCGACAAGAACAAGGTCCGCGGTATCAAACGCAACTTCACCACGCACGACCCCACCAACGAAGCAGACATCGACTTCGACATCGCCGAAGACGACGAGGGCCAGCCGCGTAAATGCTTCAAATACGATAACGTGCGTACGTACGAGACGAGCCAGCAAGTCGGTGACCCGAGTGATACCTACGGTGACGTTGTTGCGCTTGCGCTGCATGACCCGGAGAAACATGCGAATGAGCCGCTGCGTGACAGCAAGATGCAGCGGGCCGCGTACTTTTACCCGATTACTCAGAGGACTCAGTTGAGACCTAGGAGGCCGGGTCGCATTGATATGACGGAGGAACAGCCGAAGGTCGATATCATCGAGGCGGCGGGTAAGGAGCCGGAGAGCTTGGAGAGGAGGGAGGGGTATAGGAAGAGGGCTGAGGGCGTGGAGTAGGTTGATAAGAGGATGGGAAGGGGAATGGGGAGTTTGAGTAAAGCTTCTCATTGTTGGAGTTGTCAGAGCCAAGGTTGGTGAGCATAAGTTGAGATTGAACCGGTTTGGTATTTATCATCAGCGTCGGCGTTAATTGAGGTGCAGAGATGTAACAACAGATATCGTGGGCCAGACTATACAAAGGAGAAATTCTTCGACGTCTATCTCTTCTTCCTCGTCTTCACAATATTCAGAAAGGGAATCTCTCTGGTCTATCTCATCCGTCACATTCCACAGGATCATTCACTCTATCTCCACGTCACTTTATGAGCGCAACAACCACTCCGATCAAAGCCAGCACGACGCCTATGACGGTAGCATTCTCTTTTATATGGTTGAACCACCTCTCAGCACGAGACGTTCCGACATGCTGGGGTCGTGGTGGTATCGTCTGGGTTCTGTAGGGATTGGGATCGAATTCGAGAGGGAGGGTGTTGGCGCGTCGATGTTTGACATTTTTGGCATGTTTAACGTGCGTGGGTAGTATGGTATCGATATTGACTCGGTGGACTGCATTGGTGGTTGAAGCAGACATGGCGATGCGATATGTTGTAGTGCTAGTAGTTGGCTATTGGGGGTTAGCGACCTGACATAGCCAACGATATCTGGAGACTGAACTGTTTGTAATTATGCAAGTGGAATACCGTGATGCTCTCTACTACGCATCCTAGATGCTTGTCAGAAACTCGAAAGCGCAATGTTGTTTCTCTCTTTCCACTCCAGTATGGTCAAAAGAATGTAGGCTCGCGACTGCCACGGCGGCACTAGTAGACCAAGATAGTTTAGCGGATCCATGGATACCTTTGCGTCTCGCGCTAGCAGAACGACGCGGGTCCACCCCGCCCTGGTATCACAGCGGCCCAGCCATTCAAGTATCACTACAGTCCTCGCCCCGGTTTTAATGCTTCTGGCGCAACGCAGCCAATAGCTAAGCGCAAAAAAAGCCTCCGCAGAGTACACCACGTGTATCCCAAGACCATGCGTTTGGGCCTTGTGTGCTGTATGCTGAACTAAAATACAAATCGTTGATTCCTAGGTTTTATGGACATCTTTAAACATGTGCAGCTAACATATATTATATGTATACATGCGTACAATTATGAACCTTGGAAGAGACCATGCGACAACAAGAAGGCTTCAAATACACGCAACGCTGGCTCTGAAATTGGCAAAAGCCTGATGAGTCCACCCAGATGTTCACGCGACGCGACAGTATGTAAGCCTCTCCAGTCCATTCCAATGCACATCTCCATCCAACTCGTCAACCCAAAGACCTTTTATCACAAAGCCTGCAAACTCCTTCAAACACTTTTTGACCCGCTCTTTAGGTGGGCATGTCGAATGCGGCGGGCTGCTTTGACCCGACCCCTCTGGTACTGGTAGCTCACTTGACTGCAACAGTAATGACAGCGGCGACGATAATCCCCACGATAGTGACGATGAGCGTAACGATGGCGATGACAAGGCCAATGAAACCAGTGTATTCTTCGATGCGGTTAAACCAGGTTCCTACACCGGATGCGGTGGCATGAGCCCTGGAGAGCATGCTGCGATTGTTGGACGGATGAGGGTCGAGTATGGGAAGGCTCTGGGCCCGCTGTGGCCGATGATACACGGGCAGCAGATTGTCCATGTCAATTTGCTCGGATGCAGTGATGATAGGAGCCATAGCAATTGACACAAAAACGACGGATGAGGCAATTCAATTGACTGTTGTCAGTTAGAATGGACCCTTGGAACACAAGCCAAGCAAGTATCACAAAGCAAGGTACTTACGGTGAAGAAGACGAGTTTTGATAGTACTGTGAAGGAACTCGGCAGTCGATCTTGGGGAGATATAAGTTTGCGCGTCTGAACAAGAACAAAGCTTTTGCTTTCAGAGACCTCCAGCCTGCTCTTATTGCTCCTGATGCGAGCGAGTCAGTTCTCTGGGCTGTACGTCCTACGTGCCGTACCGCTAAGTTCGTACCACCTAGGCTACCGATCACACCTTTTTGACTGCATCAGGCTGCTGCAACATCCGGTCTGTAAAGCAACTGTTATGCACGCATGTCTACCATCGATGCCGGCCCGGACCGTGGCGCGGTCGCATTTTTGTATTGAATAGCACGAACAGCATCGTACTCCTGTTCAATACCGACTAGGGAAGATATTAAAGGATGTAATACAAATTGCTGTGAACGCATCGCAGGCACTGTCCAGGTACCTATGTAGCGACAGCTCTTCTCATCATGGCACAACCTTCTTGCTCCGAAGTCCTCGTAATTATAATGACTGAAGCGATGCTTTTGAATCCACGTGTATTGAGACGTTTATCGGTACCATGGCAGAGAGGTGCATATGCAGGTGTCACATATGCGGGTGAGGTGTTACCGGGGAAGCAAACCTAGAACCCCAGCCGAGAAGGACCCATGTTAAGATTTGTGCACCTGCGTTTGAATCATCAAGCGTAGGCGGTAAGAAAAGGCTGTTTACTTCTATTCGAAGTGACTTCTGGGCGAGATAGGCTAGTGGTAGCTCTTGTTTATGGTGACCTCGGGACCTTGTTGCTAGCTGATGACCATTCCCACACCCACCCACCAGCTTAGATTACTTATGGACCAAACTCACACTTACCTGTATACTGTTCACGAAGCATTCACAGATGTGTCTACCGAAGTAGGAGGCTGGGCGCGTGGCTGCTCGGCAAGGACGACCCTTGGCAGACCCGGTGTGATGGTATTTCTTCACGTCATGCCTGCCCATCCCTGTCAACCCAGAACAAGCGTGCGAATTCGCAGCGCCCATCATCTTCCCATCTATACACACCAACGCCTGTTGATTCGGTGAGGGACAGCCACTTCATGCGTCTTCTTATTCAAATCGTACGCATATGTATAAGCTGTCGCATCAATCTCGGTGATAAATATTGGTATTTTGGAAGTACTCGACGTTCTTCCTCGCGAGAATTTAATTGGGTATGTCAAAAACAGTTCAACTCATTGCACG